TGAGGAAGTCAATTTGACTCTGACCCCCTCCATCGATGGAAAGTGTGAGTGGACCCTCTAGCCTTGACTGAAAAACCTACAATGTGACAATGGCTGGATAAAGACAAATTATGTTTGGTGCATCTACGCAGGCTAGGAATCTTTCTATCTTATGGTATGTAGTTAGATCACAAATATCTGATGGATTGATTAATTTTAAAAATGATGATGTTGTGAGCAAGTCAATTTGTTGACTCTGAATTCCTCCATGGATGGAAAGTGTGAGTGGACCCTCTAGCCTTGACCGGCTGCTGTGACCAAATATCAGGAGACATTACAATTAAGAATTTATAATACAATGCCTGCTATTACTACTGAGAAAAAGGTGCAAAATATTCCCATCTCGCATATATATTATATGACATCAACACAGCCTCCTACTGTACTTAAAAAAGATGGTCATGTTCAGTTTTAGATTTAGAGAGAAATCTACAAAGACTTTATTACGTTAACTTCACATTCATTAACTATGCTACTATACATAATTTGAAAGTACTTTTTTTTAACATGAAGAAAAAAATCTTGAAATTTAAGAAAACTGGGTAAGTGGAATCTGATCTGAAGAAAGATCTCTGTCGTTATTTCTTTCTCTCTCTCACACCTTCGGTTTTTGTAAAAACCGCAATAAGAACAATACTACTGTGAAATGTGAAACTTCTGCAGAGGTAACTTTCCATCACCGAGGCTATGAAAAGAGAGTAACTGACGAGGAAACATGAAAACCCTATAGTACAAAGAGATCTTTACAAAACCCTAACATGACTTAAAAACACTGCAGTTCAGTGGACCTCACATCCAATGAAATTCATCGGATCTGACATTCGATTTCACAAAGTCCAAGATTTTCTCAAGTCCAGAGGAAACAAGGCTCGCAGCACCCATAATTTTTTTTCCCCAGAAAAGTAATGAACTTTCTACAGAGTAATAAACAATATGAAAGGGAAAATGGTAACTCATTTAAGTCTAGGGGCACAAACAAGGAAAAGGAAATACTTCAGCACTTAACCAAAAGCATTTATAAGGCATGTAAATGATAAATTGTACGGGCTTAAAGACCCTTTTAAATCTCAGATTTTTAACGTCCCAACTTCTATAGGACCGAACCAAGTGAGTGGGCAGCTATGAAAAACTCCCCAGACGACCCAGGTTCCAAAACATCCCACTGGGACTTGAACCAAGGCCATCCACACCATAGCCCAGCCATATAGTATACCAACTGAACTAATGGTGCGCCCGGAAAGGAAAGGCAGTGCACAAACATCTGCAAAAAGAGAAAGGATACAACAATACTGATTCTCTGATTTTATAGCACTTAAAAAAGACACGCAAACAAAAAATAATAATAATACATTTCGATTCCGTGCACAACAGCTTTGCAGGAAGAACATTACGGAGCGTAAGTTATGATGTTTTTCCGTAGCAACAAAAATCAAACTGGCATCATGTACAAGCCAGCTACAGCTCAAAAAGTTTGTGTATATATATATATATCAATCATGTCAGTTGATGACAGGAAAAACCTTGACCAATACAGGTACAAGAACAAGCAAATAATAATTATGCACACATTCACTTTTTTATCTGGTCAAAATTCACCAGCTCCATTCAGAGGATTTTGATAATTGACATTAGAGGCAAGACGTCCTTCATGAACTTCTGTTTATGGGGATAGTTTTCGGGTTGGGGGGAGGGGGGGTGTGTTATAATTAATCATTCAATAAACAAAATTTTGTGCTATTGATAGACAATAATATCTCTAGATCTTGTGCAACAAATTCCATCCCTGACTGCACACATATATAGAGAGAAAAAGTTCCAAGCAGTTCTTTAGTTAGGCCCCACGCACACAAAGACAACTTTTCCTTGTTACTTGGCTGCCAGTTGCGAGTCTGCAAATGTGGCAGTTCATCTCTCTTCAAAGTTAAGTAAGTGATGTCATATTTTGGAGCTGTGCGGTGACAAGTGGAAAATTTTCCTAGTGTGCGCGGGGCTCTACTGAGAAAAGTTTCCTCCTCCTGAACGTACCTTCTTATCACAGTTTACAAGTGTGATTGCAGAGAAGACCTCAACCCGTTACAAAGTATCTAGCTCATTTAATGAGTGACAGAGAGACAGATAAATAAATCTTAAAACAAGACCACAATGAAGAAACAGTCAAAGTCAAAGTCATCAACTCCAAAAACTGATACCAATTCAATAAACCAAATGCACAAATTCTAATGTATATTTAAGTTTAAAGTTTACTCTCAAAGACTGTCAAACTGAGTTGGAGATCCTTTCAATAAGAGTTCTGAGACTGCAATAAAATATGATCAAAGTACAGAATGTTTTGTACTTCAGAATTGTATTTCTCTTAAAATTTGAACAAGTGACAACTTTGACCAATTTTCCACTGCGGCCTTCTAATCTAACATACAAGCAGAAACAAAGAGAGGACTAACTAACCACAGAGACTGATGCGCAGAAATATTTTCTTCCCAAAGAGAATAAAAATGAGCAAAATGAGAACTCTCATCACAGAATGAAAGTAGACCATCTTCTCAGTCCTCGCCTACTTTTCTCAACAAACTGTGTCATTACAAGTCTAGAGGTGAACACAAAATCGGCTCCAAATCAGAAAAAAAAAAGGATTGTGAACCTAGGATCCCACGAGGGATTCAAACTCACAGCTTTTGCCTTCAACAGCGAAGAGCCTAACCAATACCCCATAATCAGCAGTCTAAAAAGAGAGAGAGAGAGAGACAGGTGGCCACAAAAACAAACAACAAAGAGCACCTTTGCTGAGTGTTGTTTCTTTCCAAAAAAAGTTCTCCCCACTCTTTTCATTTATGAGAAAAAATATTTTTTAAAGTAAAATGTCACAAAAGAAAAGGAATGTTCTACACCTTAGATTTACTCAAAAAAACCTCAATCTTGTCTGAAACCACAAAAACCATAAAACAATAAACCATCCCCAATAATTATAATAAATGCATACTGTGTTCGTTCCATCACATACAACAGATTGCTTACACGGGTAAATATTGTAATATTTAATCAATAATATAATATAATCAGCCTTTTTCACAAAGGACCATGCATCATCATAAAACAAGGCACTACAAATGGGTAGGTAGGTGGGTGGGTGGGGAGGGAGGGGGGAATGGGGGGGGGGGGGTGTACATAGGCCTAGTCACAACTCTGACACTGTCAGGACATTTATTTATTTATTTATACACCTTTATCAGTGAGTTTTTTTCTCACACAAAAACAAGAGATTTGTTTTATTTCGTTTGCTTTTATCGTATTTCACAACAACTCTGTGCTCAATACCATGTTGAGAACACAAACCCCTGCTTTCTTCGCTTGCATAAAGTTACACAGAAGCATTGTCATAGAAATAATAACAGAAATAACCACACATCATCATCATCATCTCTCCATGCAAAATAAATTCTTATTTATAGAAGAAATTCGAAACAATGACGGAGGTAAGATCAGCTATGGTGTGACTACAACATAGTATAACATCGGAGTAGAGTGCAATTCTTTACAAGCAAAAGTTCCAATTTTCAAGACTTTCTTTCCCTCAGTTTAGTTCTGAAGGGGATTCCCCCATCATACTAGAAGATCACAAAGTAAGCTTTGGTCAAAAGAAATGCTTTCTTTCCCCATGCCATCTAATAGTCTAACAACAGCCTCAAGAAGCACCAAAAAGTTGCAGGCAGCCGGCATCATCCCGCTTATTGCCCTGCCTAGACCAGAGATACAACATAGACTTATATATATGATACCTTATCATACAGGAAAGACAGTGCCACATATACACAAAGATGAACCTTCCACACAGCCGTATGTCATTTCACAGCAAGTTTTTTTTTTCATCTTGTTTCATGAATTTTTAATAATGTAGTTAACCTTAAAGAATTTACAGGACAAATCACAAAATGGTTCCTGGTGTTATTTTTTGTGTCATTTTTTTTTAGGCTCACTATTTTGTGATTTCTCGTGTGATCCTGCCTCTTGACTTACAACTTACAGTACAGATGTTTACCCAGTGAATTCACACAAACGTGCAGTAAACTATATTTACAGACATAGGGGGGGGGGAAAATGAGAAAATCACTCTTTCCACTTTCAACACCAGACTCTAGGGCAGCATGAAGTTGGCATAATTGTCAAAAATTTCTATTTTGATGATTACACACAAAAACAACACCACACTAAGGCATATCATGCTCCTAATGACCATCAGGTGTTTTCACGCACCTTTGAGAATGACAGAAAAAACAAAACAAAAAAACAAAACAAAATAAGATAACATTTTATTGTCCCTGTGGGACGATAAAACATTATCTTACCTTGTCCGTATTTTTAATTCTGTCCAGAGACTGAAGGGAAGAAATGAACAACAAGTTGACCAACTGAGATTCACAAAAACAACAAATTTTCACATCTATCTATCAGCTGTGGGTCAGTCATTATGCACCAGGTGTGTACAGTACAACAGGTTATAATTGGTCGCTTTTAAGGGCAAGCGGGCTAACCCAGATTTCGGGGATTTCCAGAAATCTTGACCTAGAACCAAAAGTGGGCATTGCCCTACCTATAGAAGTTCAGTTTCATTGGTGTGTATATTTGATTGGTTATAGAGAAAACTATCCTTGTCTTTTAAAGGAACTGAACATGGGGCAAAAACTTTACCTTCGATTTTCTCAAAACAGCATTTTGTTGGATAGCCCACTTGTGCTTAAAAGCGACCAATTATAACCATGTAATTGTTTGATTCACTTCGTCACGGGGAACGGGGGAGAGGGCGCAATCATCACCACCTCCTCCACAGACAGACACTTCAAAAAGAAAACATGGAGAAAAAAAAAAAACTGTACAAAATAAAAACCAAACAAACAAGGACTAGAAGAAACTGAGCTTCCCTGTTCAGAGGAGTCCGCTTAAACCGAAAGCTGCCCGAGGAAACCCAATTTTTTTCGGTTTAGCCGCGTCTTCAGTTCAGAGATGTTGCTCAATTAGAAGAGAAAAAAAAAAACGTAGATTTTATTTTCTTTCCATTTACCGCTGTTTTCGGATTAACCACTTTCAGTTTAAGCGGATTCCCCTGTTATATTGGGACACTGGGAACTGAGAACTGAGCATGGGGCACTGGGCAATAGGCAAGTGTTCTCCACAGATAGAACAAATGAAATGCAGAGCAAAAATGAACCAAATCCTTCGTTAAAACAAACTACATTAAAAAGACAGAGGAGAATATCGTCAGCCAGTTCAGATGTATTAAGCCCAAAATTTTGGAGAAAAAAAAAATGTTTCTTGTTGCAATCTCGTAATCTATCAATTCAATGGCATACACTCCAGAAATATTTGGTAAAAATTTTAATGCTAAATGTTTGAGTTTTAGAAGAAAAATTTTTTTTTAAAGATCCATAATACACGTACAGTTGTCAAAAGAATTAAGCTTTTTTTTTTCTCTTGAAAAAATGTTGCTTTCTGGGCTTAAAACAGTTGAACAGCTTTCTGATGATATCAGTTCCTCAAGCAGAGCACGTAAAGCCAACTACACAGGAAAATTTCTGGTGCCCTGATCTGTAGCCTAAGGATCCTTTCTTAACATCCACAAACCTCACTGTGGTATAACCCACTTCTACATACTGTCAAGGAGATAGACCTGACGTCTCAATCTTTTGTCTTTTTTATCTTGAACACAAAAGTTCAAAGTACAGACACACAGATACAGTTTGCATAAACTATCACCAACTGATATCCCCCACACTTCTAACTAAAAATCTTGTCAAATAATTTGCACTCTTCACTTACTATATATTTACACTTTAAAAACTCGCGCGCAATTTTGTTTGTTTTTGGGGAGTTTTTTAGACATAAGGTATAAATTCAAGCAAAGTGAGACGAAAAGATCATGCAAAATAAATGAAAACTTTTCACCAAAGGCCTACAAACTACAACAATTGATAAGATCCAACATCGGATATATCTTCCAAAGTAGACCACTCTAGCTGCAAGAATGCATTCACTTGTTGTACACTCAGTAAAAACATCCCCGGGGTGGCAAACACGCCGTGAACAAAGAAAACAGCACGACCCAAACTGAATGTGAGGCCGAACTGTGATATTCTCAGGAAAAGTAAAGTATATCCCCACCCCATCCCCATCCCATGCCCACCCAATTTCCAACTGCTTGACCTGATGTGCAACATCCAACCAAGGCCACCATAGGGGTCACAGTGGGTCAAAGCCATGTCTAACAGGAAGGGGAAGTTGCAGACTTGGATCCCTTAGACAAGGGAGGAGGACGGATGAGGGGGTTACACTTTACTTTTATCCAGTTCACAAACACGACACTTTGTGTTAGCAGACAAAAAGTGTCACGGAATCTTCAAGGACTGTTCTCACTCTCACCCAAGTCAAGCAAACGTAGCACTCTCTTTTAAAGCACAAATTTTCGAGGCAAAAAAACCAAATCAAAACAAACTGAAAAAAACAACAACCAAAACAAACTGGAGAAAAAAACAACCAAAGATCTAGTTACGCTTAAGTAAAATCCATGATAATATCTTCTATTTCAACAAAAACTCTGGGCTATGTAGTAGTAGTAGCATCACCTGGTAGGTAAGTAAGTAAGTATTGAAGGCAAAAAGAATAATGCTGAGACGTGCGACTGCCTGTGGTACAGTGAAGGTAGTTGTGGGGTTAACATCACAGGGAGAAGAGACACAGGCCATCAGCAACAACGTGTTACCATACAGGCCAGCAGCAACAACGTGCTACCACACAGGCCAGCAGCAACAACATGCTACCATACAGGCCATCAGCAACAACGTGCTACCACACAGGACTGCTCCAGAGCAGACACAACAACACTTGAAAATCAGCAGACCGCAATTATTCAGCTGAAATCTTTCAACACAACAAACGCATTGGTAAACACAGGTGCTTGCTTGCAGCTGTGTAAGCGAAATCTCTTCAAACTAAGATTAAGAAAGAACACTTTGTTATCATCATCCTCATCTCTTTCATTTTTGCAGCACGCCAACGAATATTCAGTTATATAAACCCGACAGTTTAGGAAACAAACTTTAAAGGTACATATTTTTGTACAATTTTTGTACAAGCCTAACAATAATTAGTATTTATCAGAGTCTCTTAGCGGCCAAAATATATACGACTGTTTCAAATGAAAACTGAGTATCTAACAAAATTATGCGCAGTAGCAAAATAGGGGAAGGAGGGAAGATACTTTCATTGCTTACCGTAAAAAAAAAAAATGGTCAAATCAAACAATGGGTTCAGTCCTGAGTTAGAGACAAACAAAAAAAATTTGAGAGTTGTGTGTCCATCCACTGGTAATTCCAGGCTGTGCTATAAAGTCTAACTCTAACCCTTTGAGTCCTCGTCCCCCGAGCCTGGGAGAACCGTGCACCTGAGCTCTCTCAGGCTGACAGCTGTATATATTGTCGGCCGGCTGTTAAGATGTGCTAAGCCCAAAATTTTGAATTTTAAAAAATATATATTTGGTCAAAATTCAAATTCTAAATATTGAAAAAAGTAAGGAAAATATAATGCAGGTACAACTCGTAAAAGAATGGAAACAAGTTTTTTCTCTCCCCAGAAAAATTTTGCTTTCTAGGCTTAGAATAGTTGAACAACTTGCTGACAAAATGTAGACATATCCCAGCATGAGCTGAGAAATACACGGGTGCACGGACTAGTTCAGGCAGAGTTATACTCAGGTTTAGACTCAGACTGAAGGTGGATCCCGTGAATCAACTACCGCTAAGCTGTATTCTCTTATTCTTGGCCTATAATTGGTGCTTGTGGCACAACCCAAGTTTAGAGCTCTGGTATACAAGTCTTTAATCCTGAAGAAGACACCCATCAATCAACAACCGCTAAGCTTTTTTCTCTTATTCTTGGCCTGTTGTTGCTGCTTGCAGCCAGACCCAAGTTTAGCTCTGGTATACAAGTCTTTTATCCAGAAGACAGAACCAGTCAACTACGGTCAAGCTTTACTCCTGGCCTTAAGCTGCTTGCAGCTGTTGTTGCTTCTTGCGGCTATACCCAAGTTTAGCTCTGGTATAAAAGTCTTTTATCCAGAAGGCGGAACCAGTCAATCAACAAGCACTAAGCTTTACTCTTGGCCTGCTGCTGCTGCTGCTTGCGGCTGTTGCGTATCTCCACCAGCCTCTTCTCCATGATCTGCCTCATGTAGGCGTACTTGTGCCGCAGCTCCAGGATCGTCTCCTTCTCCTCCCGGTCCAGAACCTTCAGGAAGTTGCCCAGCTCAGGCAGGCTGAACGCGTCCCACTAGACACATGAGGGGGAAAAGAAAGAAAAACATGTTTTAGTTTCAGTAATTCAGTAAAACTTTGTTTTTGTAAGCATTTTATGGTTCTTGCAACACAATTACGTCATATAAGTGACGAAGATTAGAAATGATACAAGAGAGTAACAAACATAAAGAAAGAAGGAGGAGAGATAATATATAAAGACGATAGTTGTTTGATAGGAAAGAAGGAGCAAACCCCACCAGAACACCCGCCAACTACCCACAGTAAAAGTTTTACAGTACATGCAACACAAATAGATTAAGCCTATACCAGATCTGAAGATTAGAGGTGTTACTAGAGAGATAACATACAAAGAAGAGAAGGAAGAGAGTTTTAGTTAAAAGTAAAAGTCTTACAGCACTTGCGACCCCCATACAAAGAAAAGAAGTAGGAGAGATAAAGATAATGAGTATGGGGAAAAAAACAAGTATGGGAGATTAGTTTGAGTTTGAGTGTAGTGTCATGAAACACTTTGAAGCAAAGACAGTTTTAGTAAAGAGAAACAGATTAACATGATAACACCACTAATCTATGGCACTTTTATGACATATTTGTGTTGCTAGTGTCTAGTGTCGTTAATTTTAGCTTTAGTAGAGGTTTTACGGCGCTCGAAACTGCAGAAGGTCATATGAGCGCCAAGGGGTGGATGTCAACAAAGAAGTCCTTACTCAGGGAATCAGACTTACTCTGCTCACCTCTCTAGCTTCAACAGCACAAAGTCTGCTTCGACTATCAAGGCATCCCGGAAATAGTGGGTCACAAGAGTGTGACAAAACTTACAAAAGAAGTAGAGGAAAAAATGACAATAGTAAGGATTAGGAAAGAAAAAACAGCAGTTCCCTGTTGTAGATCAGGCACAGTTATGAGCGTGACATTGATAAAAAAAAACTATGTGAACGTCAAGACCCATGAAGGAGTGGGGTTCATACTTAAACCGAAAATAAATAGTACGCTACTATAAACATGAGACATAAAAGAACTCGCCACCAGTACACAGAACTATAACAACAGGGATACCACTGAGATTTTGCAATAATGCTAGAGAACTTACAAAGTCGCATTTGCAAACAATGGCATCCCAAGTAACAACAAAACTGTGAACCTACCACAATCTCGCCCGTCTCGTTCTCCTGCAGAACCATCCGGTAGTTGCGGATTCTCTCCGGGTCCCAGTTCAGGAGGCCTCGGATGGGAAAGTCTTTGTCAGTCAGTCGCCGCAGTCGCACTGGGAAACAGAGAACACACGCCAGCTGATGACTGAGAGGTTCTAAAGGTTCCAGAATTAGAGTAAAGAAAAGCATACTCATGCAATAGAAACTCTTTTTGTTTGACTGTTAATATTTTAAACCCCACAAATGCAATTTAGTTAGATCAGTTAGGTTTGAACATCCCAAAAGAAACTAAAATATCACAGCAACAATCAGACCAAAGCTCTGGTATTTTTTAAAATTCTGGTTATTTGATAAAACAAAGTACGAGTCAGCAATTATAAGCGAGCTCTTTATGTGATAAATGATGATAAAGCCGGAAAAATAAAAAATAATTAAAGTAAAACAAAACTCCTTGTATAGGACAAGTCAATATAGATGGAAAGTAAACAAGACAGTGTCAGTACAGATAAAAGAAAAGACAACAGCATGTGTGTGTGTGTGTGTATGTGTGTGTGTGTGTGTGTGTGTGTGTGTGTGTGTGTGTGTGTGTGTGTGTGCTGTTAAAGTAAATAAATGTACATCGAAACAATAACAATTATCAAGTGCATAGTAAAAAACAAGACAAACAGAATGAGAATCCACCCTAACCATCTGCAACATTGGACAAACTAACACCACTTTCTTAAAAAGATACCACAGAATGAAAATCCAACAAATGACAAGAGGCCCTCCTCACCCAGCTTATTCTTGTCGCTGAACTCCTGCTCGTACATGGCAAACTTCCGCGGGTGATCCAGAATGTGGAACTTTTTCAGCAACGTGGTCACCACTTCTTTAGTTGTTGTATCACTGAGGACAAAAAAACCCCAAAAAAAACCATAAAGAACATTTTACAGACAACCTCATTTCTGCTCTATAGGTCATATCTCAAAGGAAGAGAGGCAAGAAAAAACAGCAGGGCAGTTTACAGTCTCATTTCTTCTTCTTTAATGGTCATATCACTGAAGATGAGGGAAAAAAACAGTACAGTTGTCCAAAGAAAAGAGGCAGATGACCTATACACATACTACTTAAGCACCCGTCGACACTATTTAGATCATGGGTGTCAAACTCAATTTCACCAGATGCCAAACTCAAATCACACTCAAGGTTGTGGACCAAACTGGATAAACACTCACTGAGCAGTAAAAAAAAAAAAAAAACCCCATTTTCAAACAAAATCAATGAAAACAGACAAAATAATAACAAATCAAGGCATGTCAATTTTCACTCTCATCTCAGTTTGTTAAAGCAGAATGCTTGGCATCTTCTCCGGGCAACAAGTTCATTTATGTTTGGAGTAAGGTTCTATGTCACAGAGAGATTTTTCAGGATGGACTACCTAAAATTCTCCCTCAAACCACTTTTAATTGTTCTCAAAACCAGATGCGGCCTACTGGCTTTGCGTTTGGCACCTGTGATCTAGACTGTTTAGCAGGAAGGCTGCTCGACCCTACCTATGCGGACCATCCTGGGATAAATTGTAACAACGACGATAGCGTAAAATGTTTAGTTTTAGTAAGAGTTTTACAGCACTTGCAACACAATAAAGTCATAGTGCCGAATATTAGAGATGTTACAAGAGAGTAACAAACATAAAAAAAGGAGGAGAGATCAGGACGATAGATGTTTGACGGGAAAGAAGGAACAAACAACACCAGAGCACCCGCCAACCACCCACACTGTAAATTGTCTCACCTGGTAATGTGTAAGGACTTGTGCGTGTCGCGGGGCATGTAGAACGCGACCTGCTGCGTGTTCTCGTCAATGATGTGCTCCCGCGTCAGCAACTCGTAGATGGAGGGCGGTCGGGCACCTAGCTCCATCGTAATTGGTCGGATGAGGTTCATGGTCACTTTCAGGAAGCCTTGGAATGATTCTTTGCCAGTCTGAGGAAAAAGAAGCACATCCACTCAATGAAAGTCATTATGTACGAGGAAAAGCTAGAGAAACAGACACAGAACGAACAGGGAAAATAAAGAAATAGGACCTATCAGTGACATCCTTCACATAAACAGGTTTTTTCATAGTACGAGTAAGACAAATTTCTCTGTCCTTATCCACATTTTACTTATACGCCAGTTTTTTACAGGAACAACAAAAATAGAAAAATATTTATTTATGAAAAATGAGGACAAGACGAAACAACAATTCATCATGTAGTCAATAAAAGTGCTGTTTGAGCAACCCTGTCTATATTGAAAACACGGTCAAACCAAAGAAAAATCAGACAGCCCCGCAGATTTCAGTTCCATTATCATGTACGGTATGAGAACAGTGGCCTGGTACTCACCGCTTCCAGACTAGCAGCAGGGACAAAATGGTTGAACTTTGCGATTTTCCTCTTCAGTTCTTGACGATCCAGCGTGGCCTGGCTGGGCACTTTGGGCAGCTTCTCGTCTGGGATGGTGCCTGACCGATAGCCGCTGTCTGTCTCGTCCTTTTCCTGAGAGGACAAAAGTCTAAAGTCAGCTGGATCTTGTATTCGATCAATTAATTATTGGTGACCGTATGAGTTTTTAATACGACTTTAAACAATGTAGGGTTAATTTATTGTACGGCATGACCGCAAAATTTAACTTCCGCCCCATTAGGACTGAGTCAATTATATGGAAAACCTTGAAAATTTCCCAAACAACCCACATTGAAGAACTCAACTTGAGTATTTGAACCAGGATCATTTGTTCCATACCCCTTGCCTTTGCTCTGACACTACTAATCCTAACCTTGAATTTGATAATGATAAAACATGTCTATATAATGAGGGTCACCCACATCATGCCCCCTAACCCTGCTCTTAAAACTATCAACCCTGACCTCGGTGACTTCACATTTTGTTTTGTTTTAGTAGAGGTTTTACGGCGTTCGGAACTGCATAAGGTCACACGAGCGCCAAGGACTTCACATTTGACACTGACGAAAATAATATATTCTATATCATGATGGTCAAGGAAAAGAACAAAGAAAAATCATCAAAGAAAAGAACAAATAAAAATCATCACTTTGAGACTACCAACTGCCAATATCTGTCAGAACTCAGAAGATTTTGCATCAAACATTCAAAAGAAGACAAGAGAGACTCATCAGCAAAATGATTTTCTTAAGTTTCAGATTTTGGGGCTTGGCACAACTGAACAGCAGGCCAATGATATTCGACATTGAAGAAACAAAAAATCTTGAACATTTATAGAAACGTTTGACAACTCTTAAACACTAAACTCACAGAGGCAATCAGCTCTTTCGCCATGGTTGTCACTTCTCCGTCCACTATATGTCCATCCTCATCACCACTGCCGGGGAGAGCCACAGACTGTTGTTGAGAGGGTGAGACATGATCCTCCTCCGCTATAGCCGGCTGAGGGGAGGGCTGTGAGGAGGAGGAGGAGGCAGGAGGGATGGCGTGCACGCTGCTCCCACTACTACTAGAGTCTGTGTTACTACACGAAGAGATATGTTGTTGTTGTTGTTGTTGTTGTTGTTGTTGTTGCTGTTGTTGTTGTTGTTGCTGTTGTTGTTGACCATGAAGAAGGGGATGATGATGCGAACTCGGCGCCGCAGACGACTGTCCCAAAACACCACCAGCGCCAGATGAAGTGGATGGAAAATGAGGAGGAACGGTCACCTGACCTTCGCTCGACGATCGCGCCAGTTTGGGCGAGTGTCCCGTAGGTCGGCCACTGCCCTGTCTGTTCCCTCCTCCTCCACCAATACCGCCCGGCATGGGGGCTTGACCAGGGTCCGCGACAAGGGAAGGTGAATTTGGCACATACTCCGACAGTCTGGAGGCATCGTTGCTGTTGCTGTTGCTGGTGACATTCCTGGCGCTGCCCGGCCGGACTGAAATGTTGCCGAGCGACAAAGACGTCTCCAGAGAGGAGCGCGGCTCAGAGGGGCTCGGGGTTCGAACCGCTGACACCCGCGTCACATCTATGCCGTCGTCCGAGATGGACTTGCAGTTGAGGTTGACAGCCGGCAGACAGTGTTGGTGGCAGGTATACTGGCAGACTGCGGGGTGGGAAGAGACAGAAGCAAAAAAGAAATATTACAAACTTCATTCGGGATAAATACTTGATATCTACTGCAATATTGTTATAGTACTTCCAGTCCAAAGAAGCTGTGTTCACTCTCAGCTCATGTATGAACCATGTCCATACAGTTACTATTTTATATGTTATCAGATAGGGGGAGAGAG